ATGGCCGATGTTGTCCTTCATTCCAATTACAATAAAAGAACCTTTAAGTTGTCCTGTGTCGTTTTACCCACCATTACCTGTCAGTTGCCCCACTTGCAAATTGATACTCGATTATGGAACATCCCAAGTGATATAGTTCTGGCTGACCCTGATTTCAACGTCCCATCGCCAATTGACCTTCTCATAGGCTCAGATCTATACTATCACCTATTGACCAGTGGTATGATTCGGTTGGGCAAGGACATGCCCACCTTGCTTAATACTCATCTTGGATGGATAATAGGAGGACTGCATCCATCAAATTCTGATTCAAATGTTTCCAATTCACACTTGAATGTGTCGCTGTCAACCCAGAAATCTGTGTCACTTTTCATTCAAAACGATGAACAAACATCGCTTGAAAAGTTGGTGAGAAAATTCTGGGACATAGAGGAGCTTCCAGCTGCTAAGTGTCTTACTCCTGACGATGAAATGGCCGAGTCCATTTTTATCAATACAACAAAAATCTTGAGAAATGGAACCTTTCAAGTAAATTTACCATTGAAAACCCCTGATGAACATCTCAAGCTGGGTGATTCATTATCCATAGCTCGCAAAAGGTTTGAAAACCTTGAGAAAAAATTCGAGAAAAATCCAACTTATTACGCTGATTATAAAAATTTTATAGATGAATATGTATCCTTGGACCATGCAAAGTACGTTCCCCTTGCTCAACGTGATGATCTATCACACGAAAAATACTTTTTTCCTCATCACGCTGTCATTAGAGAGGACAGTGTGACCACCAAATTACGCGTTGTATTTGATGGCTCTTGCAAAACTACTTCTGGTTATTCCCTCAATGACGTCATGTTAAAAGGGTTTCAAGTACAGCCAGATTTATATGACATCTTATGTCGATTCCGATCATTCAAATATATACTGACTTCTGACATCGAAAAGATGTTCAGACAAATAAAGGTTAATCCTGAACAAACATTTTTATTAAATATTCTCTGGCGAGACCAACCTCAAGATAAACTTAAATGTATTGAGTTATCAACGCTGACTTATGGTACAAATAATGCTCCCTTCTTAGCCACTAGAGTCTTGAATCAAATTGCAATGATTAATTCTTCTGAATTTCAACTTGCATCACATGCGCTTCTGAACCAAACATATTGTGATGATATTCTCGCAGGTGTTGATGACCTCAATGACCTTCCAGTCCTGCATGATCAATTAATTTCTTTGCTGAATAAGCATGGATTTCCATTGCACAAATGGTGCAGTAACTCTACGGAATTCTTGGCAAAAATTGCCAACGAAAATAACACTTCTGAGTTGGATTTCAAGTTTAATGGAACCCTTAGCAAGGTTCTTGGGCTCAAATGGAACCCAGTAATTGACTATTTTCTCATTTCAAGTCCCAAAAAATCATTTCCAGAACCCTTCACAAAAAGGAAAATTCTCTCAACGGTTGCACAATGCTATGATCCAATAGGTTTTTTGTCTCCCGTAATCGTTATTGGTAAGCTGATAATACAAAAACTCTGGACATTAAAGGTTGATTGGGACACTCCTATAAAAGACAATGATCTCATTTCAGAATGGAGAAATTATGTTGACAATTTACATCTTCTACAAGATCTTAAAGTTCCAAGATATTTTTTCCTGAACAAATTAGTAAAGGAGATCCAATTTCACGGCTTTGCCGATGCAAGCATGAAAGCGTATGCTGCGTGCATGTACATACGTTGCTCCTATACTGATGGTACTATTTCCAGTTTTCTTGTTTCATCAAAGTCCAGAGTTTCCCCCCTGAAAACTGTCACACTTCCCCGATTGGAACTTTGTGCCATGCTTCTTCTTTCTCAACTAACTTCCAAACTTCTACAAATATATAACAACAGATTTAACGTTGACTCAGTTAATCTGTGGTCCGATTCTGAAATTGCACTTTGCTGGATTCAATCCCATGCATCACGTTGGAACATATTTGTTTCAAATCGTGTTTCACAGATACAGGAACTCACTTCCCACTTTGTTTGGCGGCACATTAAATCTTCTGAAAATCCAGCAGATTTACCCTCTCGAGGCATTCCTATAACTGACCTCTTAACTTCTAAAATTTGGTTTTATGGCCCAGCTTTTCTAAAAAATCCTAATCTTGATATGACAGAGATAAAAAAATTCCCGATCTCATCTAATTTGCCCGAAGAAAGAAAAATCTCATTATTTACTGTTACTGCTAATCTATCAGATCAAAATGCCTTTTGGTATGATATTTTCAAACGATTTTCAAATTTCTCAAGACTACAGCGTGCATTGGCGTACATGTTTAGATTTTTCTATAACTGCAAAAATAAAGAAAATAAAAACTCAGGTCCTTTGAATGTCCAAGAACTCAAAGGCTCCTTAAACCTAATCATGAAGCTTTTACAAGCACAATATTTTTCAAAAGAAATCTCTGCAATAAATAATGGAAATAATATTTCTGACAAGGCTTTAAGAAAACTCAATCCCTTTTTAGACACCGATGGATTCCTAAGAGTCGGTGGCAGATTAGAAAACGCCAATATACCTTTCGAACATAAACACCCCTTATTGTTGCCATCTAACAATTACGTTGTTGCACTGTTATTAAGACATGAGCATAAGCGTTTGGGACACGCAGGCGCTCAAAATGTTCTTTCGAATATTAGAACCAGGTATTGGCCTCTTAACGGTCTCAGGGAGATTAAGAGAATAATCTCTAACTGTGTAATTTGCTACCGCTTCAGAGCAAAGACTTCTGAGCAAATAATGGCAAATCTTCCAAAGAGCCGAGTACAAGTATCTCGACCTTTCAGTCATGTGGGGGTGGACTACGCTGGTCCATTCACAATAAAGTCCTCTAAGTTACGCAAGGCTCCACGAATGAAAGGGTACTTGGCCATTTTCGTTTGTATGTCCTCAAAGGCAGTCCATTTAGAACTTGTGTCTAGCATGACAACTGAAGACTACATCCTTGCTTTAAAGCGATTCATATCACGCCGTGGCAACCCTTCTGTAATATACAGTGACAATGGGACCAATTTCGTTGGTGCTAAAAACCAATTGTATGACCTCTTCGATTTTTTTCGTAAATTCGAAACTAACAATAGTGTCAAAGAATATTTGTGCCAGAATGAAATAGAATTCAAGTTTATACCTCCTAGAAGCCCACATTGGGGTGGAATATGGGAAGCTGCTGTGAAAAGCGCAAAGCATCATATACATCGTCTTATTGGTGAAGCCCATCTCACATTTGAAGAATTATATACCATTCTGGTTCAGATAGAGGCTATCCTCAATTCACGCCCCCTGTGTCCCATATCTAACGACCCAAACGATTTTCAAGTGTTAACTCCTGGTCATTTGTTGATAGGTTCAAGTCTAACTTCCTACCCCGAAAAGGACTTAACAACAATTCCTGAAAACAGACTTACCCTCTGGAAACGTCTAACCCAAATAAAACAAGCCTTTTGGAACCGGTGGACCAGAGATTATCTCAATCGTCTACAGAATCGTCCAAAATGGTTTCAGAACACTCCCAATTTAGAACCCAACTCCCTTGTTCTTCTGAAAGAAGATAACACCCCGCCATTCCAGTGGCCCCTGTCCCGAGTTTTGGAGGTCATGCCAGGAAACGATAATAAGGTCAGAGTTGTGAAGCTCAAAAATAAAGACGGTGTGTTCACAAGAGGCATTGCTAAGGTGTGTCCTTTACCTCAACAAGACCTTCCTGAGACTTACTCAGTCGAGGCCCCTGTTCAGGAATAGAAGTTCTTCCAGTAGTTAGGTCCTGGTGGTGGGTTTTATTCTGATCATTCATTGTATATATGTTATTAATTCTTGTTTTGTTTTTTGAAGCATTGTGCTTCAACCGGGCCCCAAAATGTTGCGAAAACTCTTCGCAACACAGGAATTTAAAAATTCCTCTCCCACAAAAATCTCAAGAGGGTCGCACACAGCGCCCTCTCAAAAAACCTCCCTTCCTTCCCTTGCAAGCCAAGGGCAGTGCCGAAGTAGACACAGACGTGACGAGAGTTTTGCAGTACTGTCGCATCGCATTTCGTCAAATTTCGCTTTTTTGTTGTCGCTTCTGCCTCCGTTCAGGCCATGAATGTGTATAAGTCAGTGTTCCAGTCTCTTCTGAGTGATTTTGCTCAGGTTTGAGAATCAAATTGGGCTCAGAACGAGTTCAATTTAAAGTCCCAGTTGTGGCAAGTTGGCTTGTAGTCGGCTTTGTCATTGTATGTTCCAGTGTCTAGTGGCGACATCTTCAGTCAGGCCAAATCGTAAGTCTGCACACATTTACAGTTCAAAACATTTTCTTCATAACTAAACGGAAGGGTAGTGGAAAGACTATTGGATTGGCAGAGCAGTCTAGGCTTTAAATAAATTGACCAGCAAGAGATTCAGGCAGGGATAGACTTGTTGACTCACTTTAGAGACAGTTTCATATTTTATTACTTCTTCCTTTGCTTCCACTCTTATTTCATGTTGGAGCCAATATAATCAAGACTTTTATTACTTTAATTCAATCATAAAATTTAATTTCAATCAGGTTTCAAAATGATTGATTTCTGCAACTAGTTATTAGCTCATTTATTTAATTTATAAAATATAAGATTACGTTATTTAATTTTTTCTTTATTTTGGGTAGATATTGTTACATTAGAGTAGGTTTTTGGCTAGATATAAGTATTTATAGTTTGTAAGTTTCAATTGAAAAAGGCAGTTTTGATTTGTTGTGTTTAAAATAAATATCTACATTGAAACTTCATTCCTGCTATTATTTTTGAACCTGGGATTCATGATAAATTAGATTAATACACCTGAATGTGTAGTTAAAAATAATTACAACTCATACATTTTTTTTTTTTACAACAGATTTAAAAGGGTTTGATGGCTATTCCAAAACCAGTCCTTTGTCAGTCTCATCGTTGTGCTGTGCAACTTATAAAGGGTATAATTTTGCGCACTCTCTTTGAATTCTACTCAATTTTATGGTTAAATTGAGCAACGAGATTTAAATAATGCGTAAGGATTTGTCCATATTGCATTGCGTTTAAAGTTAGTTGCTTATCTTCTACAGGTGCTGTAGGGTGTACAGTGGAAGATACTAGCCTGGCCAGTGGTAGAGGAGAGCCATCTTTGGCTACAGGTGGAGCGCTTATACCTACAAATTGAACAATTATTCATGTACACTTACATATATTTTTTTTGTGACCTACCATCTGCGTAGTTTGCAGGAAGTAGACGAGTATATATTGTATAACTAGCACCCCATTTAGGATGTTCTAAATTATTGCAAGTGCCATCAAGACTACGATACTTTGAAGCATTATTACATGGAGATGGTGGAGGAGAACAAATGCTCCTAAAAAGAATATGTAGGTATTACAATAAAATATAAGTATAATTTTTTTAAACTGGTTATTTTCTCTAGATAATCTTACCTAACATTCTGTCCGTTTGTTTGTTGAAGTAATAAAATTGAGAGGTATATTTTCAGCTGAGATGAAAGGTGCATTTTTCTGCTAAGTTATTTGATAATTCACTTTCGCTTGTTACTAACCCAAACTAACAGCGTTCTAATTAAAAATTAGTTTAAGTAGATAGTTTACTTACCATCAAGAAATTAACTGAGTAATTATACTAATAAATACTCAAATATTGACATTTGCTTTCTGTTAAATAAGCGTAAAAAAATTAATTTTCAAATGAAAAGTATGACTGAGAACCTATTTATTTGTGATAAAACTTAGATTATTACACGTAATGCAGGCAGAAAGCCATTTTAGTGTAGCTGACGTTAACCGTTTTTATCACCAGCTAAAATATGTAGTTATTTTTAGTGATTCCCACGAGACCAACGAGACGAGACTTTCATAAAGTCTTGTCTCGGCTCGCTGATGAAATAAAAGTCTTGTCTCGAGTCTTGTCTCGCAGCCTCAAGTCTCGTCTCGTCTCGCGTCTCGTACGAGAGTCTCGCAAATGTCTCGAAGTCTCGTCATAATCTTGTTCCAGTTTAGAGTCTATATTTGAACCAAATCCTATCGGCAGTAATGGCATAACTGGTCATTTCCATTACAACCTATCAAATGTCCTATGTCCCCCGTGCATGCGCACTGGGGCCTTATTCTGTAAGGAACGAACCTTTCGATTCGGTAGAATTTCTTCGATTGTGATGTCATTTTCGGTTTGGTTTTCGCGCTACCAAACCAAAACCAAACCGAAAATGACGTCACAATCGAAGAAATTCTACCGAATCGAAAGGTTCGTTCCTTACAGAATAAGGCCCCTGGTCCAGGTAGGGCGTCTTAACCAATAGGAAGTCTGGATTACGAACACAATTTAGGTTATTTAATGAGGAAGTTGCATAAAATTTTATTTTGATGGAAAATTTATTTAAAGTAGAGCAGTATTTTGCTCTTAGAAGTTATATTTCTATATTTAAATCCTCTTTAAACTGAACCATTGATATAGTATATTACATACCGAGTAGGGAAGTGTTTCATTACTGTCGAGAGATTTATATAGTCTAATAATCTCGAGACAGAAATGAAAACTTCCCTCCGAGGTTTGTATACTATTTTATTTGCAAGCACACCATTAATTATGATTAGTCAATCAATTTTTTTAATATTAAAAAAATAAAACAAACATGCCAAAATGTGTCATTCACTGCTTTGACGTTTTTACCTGACATGTTTTCATTGTTGCCAGCAAAGGTTAATAAATTAGAGTGAGGGAAATCGGTGAGGGAAGTCGAATAGGGAAATCGGTGAGGGAAATCGAAGAGGGAAGTGACACAGGTAAAGTGTCACTTCCAAATTTTTAAAAAGTCAGTAATGGCAAGATTACATATATGATTGCAAATAAAATAATTTTTATTACGCATGCATCATAATCAACGATTATCGCACGCTGCAGCGGGCATAAAATGATGTTTATGATGCGTTTACCTTTTCAAAGGTTTGCTATAGAAACGTTCGATCTACCTTCATTACCTAGATATTTACCTGCATATCTGCCATTTAAATTACTACTTATCAAAATGAATGAACACTTTTAAAACATTTTTGAGATTATGATGCATTCGTAATAAAAAATAGCGTATGATATGCGTGTATAAGAAGGCATTTAAAGCCCTTGCGACTGACAAAACACTCCGCATACGCATAATATACTATTATTTGTCACTCATTTGTAAAATGTCACTTATCAAGTCAAAACATAAACAACGAAAATTGATTTTTACAAGCTACTGGCTCTACTGACTTGTAAAATTGACAGCTAAACTGTAAAAAAAGTCAGTAGAATTATTTATATTCAAAGAATCAGTTTTATCACAAGAATAATTGCTTGTAGGTACCTTCTGGAAGAGTAACAAATAAATTATTATACATTATACTCCAGGTAGCAATTTTTGCCGACTCTTGAAGGTGACAAGCTCGCCTAACGGCTCGCTAGTCATTTCCTTCTATCGCTAGTAAAGACTGTTTTACCTGGCTAATAATGTAAAATACTATAATTAATCAAGTATTGAATATAATAATGGGCGCGAAAATGCTCTAAAATTGGTTATGACGTCATCAAACGATAAACAAACAAAAGTGTGGTTATGTTAACGTGAAACGTAAGCCGTCAGATGCTTGTGTTTGCATAGAATTCTACCAATGGATCCACCATTGTATGTCGGTCATTATCATTTTCCATTCACTAAACAACTAACTCATCGGTGAAGTCACCGATTAGAATAAAAACGACGGGAAACTTGACAACAAAATAAACCACACATGTAAATCGCACAAACAATGACATAAAACAAAATTCACAATGGATAAGACAGGGAGGGAGTACAGAGACTCCTTTTGATGCTTGGAAGGATATCGTCTTGTGACGTCATTGATTTACGACTGCGTTTTGGCGCGAAGAGAGTTATTTTGAATTTCTATATTTTTTTACAGAAAAACATTAAGTTGAGAATTTAAAATATATTTAAAATTAGGAACTGTCTAGAGTCCCAAACGCGGGATCGCTAGAAAAACGCAAAATCCCGAAAAGGCGTGGCTAAATAATGGCGTTCGGGACTTTCCAAAAATAATTCTAGTCCCGATTCTCTAGTTCTAGATCTAGTTTTGTTACCATGGTCCCGAAGGACCATGGTAACAAAAGTAAACTCCCGAATTCGTGATAATTCTTTATGTATTATTTGTTTATCCTATACACCTAGGTTAGATTAGTCAACTGTTGTGTTTTGAGCAGTTTTGGCTGAAAATTTGTACTTAGGTATCCTTTATTATGGGGTTAAATACAAATGACACATTTGGTTCATGTAAAGAATTACAAGATGCTATTGATTTATATAAGAAAGAAAATAGGGTGCAATTTTGGAAACGGGATGCAAAAACTATCACATCCGCGAAGCATCATGCCCCCTATTTATACAAGACTGTTAAAGATAAACCTGATATAGGATGAAAATATAATAATCCCTAATCATGAACAAGTTGTTGTTGATACCCGACTTGATACCCCTATCGAGACTTATGAGATTCAGGACTATGATGAACAAGAACAGTAGTTTGAAAATTCTGAAATAATCCCTAATCATGAATAAGTTGTTGTTGATATACCCCTATATCGAGACTGAGATCCACATGGACTATTATGAACAAGATCAGCAATTTCCAAAAAATATATTTTACCAGTACCTATTTAAGTGGTAATTTATCGTAATTGGTATACATATTATTATATTTGCAATTTAATGAAAACAAATTCCAGAACCCTATAGAAAGTCGAGGCAGACCTAGAGGCAAGAATTTAGCGGCGATAGATCTGCCAGATAAAAAGAAAAGATGTACAAAATGAGATGTCAAAGTTTCTTTTCCATATTGTTTACTTAGTAGAAATACACGATATTTGTTTTTTGCTACTTCCTTGTTTTTCTATGATTTGTCTGATAAAATTATGTCAGGACTAGTCGGGAGTTTACTTCTGTTACAAAAGTCCCAAATTCGGGATTCGAATAATTTTTGGAAAGTCCCGAACGCCGTTATTAAGCCACACCTCTTCGGGATTTTGCTTTTTTCCAGCGATCCCGCGTTCGGGACTCTAGACAGTTCCTTAAAATTATAATGTGAAGAATTCAATCTATATATGTAAAAATCAAAGTTCACGGGGTATCCGGATATGCGCTCTAAAACCACTTATCCGATTACGATGAAACTTTGGTAGGTTATTATGGCCATCCCGAGGAAGGTTTGTGGATAGGTTACGCATCTCGGAAAAAGAAATTAATTTTGAATCAATTATTAATTTAATTGTAAACAAACTCATTCACATTACAGAACAACATAACCCAACTTTTTTTGACAGCATGAAATAACGTTGACATATTTCATTTATTTAGGCTTGCATTCAACCGACGTAACTTTATCATTTTTTGAATTCAAGAACGGCTGGACCAATCTTGAATTAATACCACGTATCTCTATATAAGGAGAATTCGATTGACCTAGATTAGATCGATTTGGGTTCAATTTAAGTGAACTTCTTCTGATCTAGATCATTTTTTTGTTGATGAGGGTGCACTGATCCAGCTTGAATCGAACACAGTATGGTTAATTTAAATTGAACCAGATCGATCTAATCCGGTCAATCGAATCGGCTATAGAGGAGAGTGATATAGGCTATTTTTTATCCCGGAAAAAAAAGTTCGGTTGCGTAAAACTCTGATACACTGGAACGCCTATAAACAGCCCGGGGCGCACTAGAGCAGCTCTGGAGTGCTTAAAATGCGTCACTGAACTCACTGGCAAGCGACTCTGATATCGGATTTAAAAAAAAATTAAATAGAAAATCAACAACAAAATTTGAAAAGAAGTGTATTATTTCAAAATGTATTTACACGCTGGCAACGCAGCGGGTCATTAGCTAGTAAGAGAATAAAAAAAAAAATTTGCAAATTCCTCATTTTCATTACTGCCGCTTGGATTTGGTTCAACCATAGTAGTACAGGATACTTACCGATTTGCTTTAGTGTTAAATCAGAAAAAGAAAATCACAACTGTTGAAAAATGAGATTATGTATTTAAAAGTATTACATGGTGATCTATTATAAATGTCACCCCCTGCTACCTTTTTCATTTGACGTTTTTGACAGAAGTGTCAAATACAAAATTTTCAGGAAATTGTCCGAAGTTTGTAAGTAAGTCAGTTTTAGGCATACAGGGTGCGCCAAAAAAGTGCAGCAGTGTGAAGTTATATTTACAATAAACTGTTTTTAGAAAAAATCTCTGAAGCTTAAATGGTATAATTTTTCTTTTTTCATTATGAAACCTTGAAAGGGGTGTTCATGTTTTTTCCTAT